TTTGATAGTGTAAACCATCCTTTATAACACTCAGTAAGTTTCCTCAAACATTTCTTACAAATCCTTCAAAACTTAGAATTTACCCATGCAAAATTCCTACTGTGATCACAGAAACTTTGATAGTGTAAACCAACCATTCAATGCTCATAACTCAGAAAAACTAAAATACACTGGCTTCAATTCCCCCCCCTGAGTTAGCCTTCCAGTTTATTTATAGTTCAATGAAACCAACCAGTAGCCTGCTTGCCGCCTGGAATTTCCAAGGGGGGATTAATCTCCCCTTGGAAAATCCAGGCGGCAAGCAGGCTAACCAACCAGCCTTCACTGGCAACTTTCAATTTAGATTTAGTTACCTATAGTGTAGCTGAGTGTAAAAACAGATACTGCATTTATAGAGGGTCTTGAAGGGGGTAAAATGGTAACTAGGATTTGCATATTTTTGGACTGGGTAAATGGGATTTGGGTTACTGGAATTGGGAATGACAGGGAATGGAAAACCCAAATACAATTATAAGGACAGTCGTAGTTGGGCATTTCAGAATGAAATAACTTTAAAGGGAAATGGCAATATATTTTCTTATTTTCTCATTTGAAAGAACTTTGAAGACTATATATAATACTCTTTTACCGTTTTTTCATACATTGCTTACTTCTACAAATATTTTTATTGAAAGGAATGAAATGTCCACCATCTTCAATTTTTGTAGATATGCATGTCACGTCACGGCAGGAGTGACGCACTATTTTTTATCTAGACAACCACTAATCATTTTGCACTCAAAACTATACTCTGTTTGCCCTTCGAAATATCAAGATCACTAGAAACCTTCAAAACATCTACCAATCAATATTTGGTCAGCAACGAATACTTTTATATGGTTAATCCCTGTTGTGACGTCACCAAAAGTATGGCAGACATCTTATTATACAGTCAAGTGAAAATATTTCAAGAACTAAACAAGATATGAAAAATCGGTGAAAGAAAGTTAATATATAGTTTCAAAAGTTCTTTCACATGAGAAAATAGTAACTTATATTCCAATTTCCCCTTTGAGAATGACCTCTACCCCTTCAGCTCTCTTTAAAGAGCAAAAGTAGAATGTTGAGCGACAAGAAGAAGCTCAGTAAATACCGTTCATTATGATTAATCATTTATTGTGATTGATCATAATGATCATGATCAATAATCTTTTAAGACTAAAATATTTAAATTAATTAATTCATTAATTGTAATATACCTACCTACATTGTACATATATACCCAGGATACCTACAATACATATATATTCATCGCATGTAATTTTAATTCATACCGCTACAAATGACATTCCATCACGTACTGTAATTTATTATCATAATCATATCAATGGAATTAAAGCTTTCATTTGAAATACATTTATACATGACTACTGTTTGTGGCAGCATGAGCTCCATGCACCTTTGAATTTACTATATGAGTAAATTCTTAAACACGTCCGAATTTATCATTATGATAAATTCGCGGCATATTTCGAATTTATCATAATGATAAATTATTCGCGGCATCTAACCGTAACCCTAACTCCTAACCCTAATCTAATTTTTTAAACTTTTTTGAAAATCTTTTTTAAACTTTTTTTTTGAAAATCTTGAAAATGGCCACAGTTTGTGGCTATAAACGATACCTGTTTTCGGCATACCTTATTAGATTTTTAGCCAGGGTTTGTGGCTATAAAGTACGCCTGTTTTTGGCATACCTTATTAGATGTATAGCCACGGTGTGGCTATAAAGTACGCCTGTTTTCGGCATACCTTATAGCCAGGGTTTGTGGCTATAAACGATACCTGTTTTCGGCATACCTTATTAGATTTATAGCCACGGTGTGTGGCTATAAACGACGCCTGTTTTCGGCATACCTTATTAGATTTATAGCCACGGTGTGTGGCCATAAAGTACGCCTAGTTTCGGCATACCTTATAGCCACGGTTTGGCTATAAACGACGCCTGTTTTCGGCATACCTTATAGCAATGGTTTGTGGCTAGAAAGGATGCCGGTTTATAGCCACGGTTTGTGGCTATAAGGGTGCTGGAGTTCGGCATGTCAGTATAGCCACAAACGCTATAAAGTACGCCTGTTTAATTTCGGCATACCTTAATTATAGCTACGATTTGTGGCTATAAAGGATGCCTGTTTTCGCCATACCTTGTTTAAGCCACGGTTTGTGGCTATATAAAGGAGGTCGGATTTCGGCATACCTCATAGCTACGGTCAGTGACTATAAAGGACGCCCATTTTCGGCATACCTTATAGCAACAGTGTTTGTGGCCACAAATTGCGCTTGTTTTCGGCATACCTTGTAGCTATGGTTTGTGGCTATCATATCTTGTATTACTTGTATTAGTATAAAGGAGACTGGCTGACTGGGCAATTGCTAGATAGTATACTTCAAAATAAGGTTTCCGTTTTTATATCAATTTTTAAAGTAAGTTAGGTTAAGGTTAGATTAGGGTCAGTGTTGGGGTTAGGGTTACGGTTAATGTTGGGGTTAGGGTTTAGTTTTGTGTTAGGATAGTTTTTTCTACGTTATAAAAACGGAAACCTTATTTTGAAGTATACTAGCCTGCACTCAGGTTACAGAGCCATGCCCATAAAACTCGCCTGACACTAGAATCTGCCCCCAGGGTACCCCACTGGGGAAGTGAGCACAAATGTTTTTGAACAGAATCGAATATTCCAGTTTCGAATTCGAAGCACTGGACCAAATCAAAACTTTCGACCAAAACAGAATGATAATTTACCGTAATTGTTTAAAAGAGTAAGCAGTTTTGCTCACTAAAATAACGTTCAACCACAGCTTGTCAACACAGATACGAAATATTAAATGGCGACAGAATTGCAAGACCCAACCCAGGCTTTGCCATTCGAAGTTTCGTGTGTCATATTTTCATTTGTCCCTGCGGAAAATCTTGTCAAAAACTGCGTTCTTGTTTGTCAATTTTGGAAGCAAATTAGCGACGACAACACAACATGGAGGCTAAAATGCGAACGTACACGGCGCTACGTGAAAAAGTACATGAGGAATTTTGAGCCTGAAAATTGGAAGAAGTACTATTATCAAAACCCATATTTCAGGAATCTTATAAAGAATCCAAATTTGAGCGATGCCTTTCCCAACATTTTGGAGCTTAAGAGCCAAGAGATTTACGGATGGCACGGGTACGGTGATGTAACCCAGGAGCAGTGGCACGCCCAGTTTATACCGTGGGAAATGATGAGAATCGAAGGGCAAGGGATACAGTTGGAGTACCCACCTATTGGCTGTGGACCTGCTCCCAGTGGTGGTAGGTGCGAATATAACTATGATTGGTTGACTCAACCTTAATATATAATCTGAGGGTAGGGGAATGCCACTCCTCCCCCCCCCCCCCAGTAAGGTATGGTGGTCATTGAAAAATGTAAGGAAAAAAGAGAAGTATATAAATTCAGAAGCTTGTTATGATGATTATATAGTTTCTCGCTGGCTGAAGTATGAAATAATTTAGAAACAGATTTCTCACACTGGGGGGTGCAGGGCAAGGTGCTGTGCCCTTATATAGGAATGCACCTCGAGATATAGCATCTTTTGTGGTAGTTACCACCCTCCCACCCTTGTGGTTTGAGACATTAGTTAGGGTTAGGTCTAGTATGTATAGTATGTGATAAATTTGTGTGTAATGCATGCACTGCTACATTTGCGGTGACTGACAACATGGCAACTCAGTTCTGAGAATGCCCTTGTCAGAGCTGCCAAGTCTCACGGTTTACCTGTGAGTCTCCAGGTTTTCATGCTGACCTCCAGGTCTCACGGTTGGTGTTGAAAATCTCGTGGAATCCATTAAAATGGTCTTTATGCATGGATTCTGCATCCATGCTCTGAAAAACATACAATTTGCGAAAATATCGTCTGTTCTTTCGAATAAAAATCCGTATGTATTTGTAAAATGACACTCTTGTTAAAAAAATGAGTAGCGTGGAAGGCCCGTTTCAGACGGCGTACTTATCATGTGCCGAACTTAATTGATGAATTAGGTACGGCAGAAGAGCGACGTATGAATTCATCAATTAAGTACGGCAGAATTTGGAGCGGCAAAAGTTCGACACAGTTCAGCAGAGCTTGTCACATTATGCGACGTTGGAGCGACATTGATTCATACGCCGCTCCACTCATGTGCCAAACTTAACTCAAATTTAGTCTAAAAATAAACTTATTTATTTTGAATTTTATTTAGAATTATTTTGAATTTTATTTGGCGAATGCGGCCCGACCTTGTCAATAACATTGTGTTTGGTACGCCGTTTGAATCACTGCCGTTCTTGTGTCGCATCTAATACAATTAAGTTCGGCACATGAAGAGTATGCCGTCTGAAACGGGCCTAACGTAATCTAAACATGAATTATGTGTGTGTGCAGGCTTATTTTTATTACACACGCATTATTATAATATATGGCAATCTCGTTCCCCGAGCATGCCCTGTCAACAATAATATAAAGTCAACAATTTATACATTATTTGATTAAAAATTTTCAGTATTAAATATTGTCTGCGCTAGGGGGGGGGGGGGTACGATTTACGAACTAAAGGCCCCAGCAACCTCCAGGTTTTTGATCATCTGAACTTGGCAGCTCTGCCTTGTCTAAATGAAATTTATTAAACAGTTGTGTTTAACAATCCTATGGTGCAAAATTACATGTCGATATGATCAAATGTGCTTTACATCAAGTATTATGCTTACCTTACTGGCAGATCTCGAGCTTTGACTGACTTTTTTCCACATGAGTCTGTGGTGAGAATCAAACCCAAGGTGAAAGGTTGTTGCTTTGATGACAGAGATAAATGTTAACCCTAACGCTTTGCACATTGTAGATCTTGGTTGCATAGCGACATCACATGGACCAACAAAGAGATGTCAGGTTATTGATCTACTAGCAGAAGGAGTGTTGGAATATATTCTGGATGAATGCAAAATACCAATATACGTTTGTGAATGGTTAGTCATTTGTCACATTATTGACTTTGGCACAGATCTCCAAATCTGTAGCCTTATGAAGGTTAATGTTTAACTCATTGAGCCTCAATGCACCCCAGTGCGCCTCAATGCACCCCAGTGCGCCCTACTTATTCTTTTTACTTGTCTAACGCCAGATTATTTTTATTCGTCAATGGGGAAGCTCTGCAACTTAATGGGTTAATTAATAATAAAGTCTTTACATTCAAATCTGTTTGTGGTTTTAGGTTTAATAATCGATTTGATTGTGGTGCTAAATACTTTTTAAAAGTTGCTCTGATGGACAAAAAACGAAACAAGTTGCCAGAATGGAAAGTGAAACTTGACGGCCAAAGACCAGAGGGTCGGCGTGAATGGGACAAACTTGAACATACATTTAGAGAATATCCTGCTGGTGTTCGGTATATTCAGTTCAAGGATTATGGAGAGGATACATATAATTGGGCTGGTTTTTACGGTGCAAAACTAGCTGGCGCTACTGTGCGATTTCTCCTAGACTAGGAATTCATAGAACATGATATTAATTATAAATTTGGTACCATATTAATTTTATAACTTCTAGTAATAATAATAATAATAATAATAATAATGATTTAATAGCATTTCCACATAGTGGCTCTTCTATGCTACAAGTGAGTTTGATTATAAGATAACAAAGTATACAATATATACAACGGAGTACATAATACGACACAACAAGTATTACAATACGTAGTATGTTGTACATTACAATATTTAACAATTGACATTATTAGTATTTAACAATTGACATACACAGTAAAATACAGTATAGTTATATACACAATGTCAACAGAGTTTACGACGTGTCACTAATTCTGTTTTTGACTAATGTTTTGAAGTACTCGGAGGAGGTTCTGCAATAATCTTTAAATGTATCGCAGTTTCGAATTTCTTCAGGTAAGGAGTTGAACACTCGAGCTGCTTCATCTTGGAAGGTTCCAGAGATAATAGGGACTACTAGACGCCGGGCAGATGATGATCGTAATGGTCTTATAGGAATATATTCCTCTAATTTTAAGTATGTAGGCCAGTCATCACAATTCATTGCTTTGTATGCTAATAATATATGTATGCTATAATTATATATATATATATATAATTATATATATTATATATATATATAATATATATAATAATAATTATTATTATAATAATAATAATAATTATTATTATTATTATTATAATTATTATTATTATATTATATATATATGTATGCTATTGCTTTGTAGCTATAATTGATGTAGAATATATTATTAATGCAAAGAATTGAGTATATATACATGAAAATAATTGAGTATATACATGCAATTTTAGTTTCTTCTTTATCCTGTTTGCAGCCAAGGTTAAACAGTTGTAGATGAAAACATATCATATTCAGGGGCACACATTGGGGGTGACACACCCAACATCAATGTCCTAAAAATCAGTCCCAAAACGTTTCTGGGGTCAATATTGTCAGTCAGGTTTCAGTAATCCAAAAAAATGGTCGTGCAATATATGTTGAAAAGAGATAAAGAATGAAGTTTAACGACATTTCAAACCAATGGCTTTTGTCAGATTTTCAATGAAAATAAAGGTGAAATTTTTATTTTCAATGTATAGTTCCAGGCCTGAGTGTATAGTATAGTACCTGGGTACTGAGTGATGAAAAATTATGTGTTTCATCTACTTTACAATCTTATATACCGGATTAACCTACCCCAAGCAGGAGGGGGATTGAGCAATGTTTGTATCTGATACTGTTCATTCTTAGGTGCCAACGACGGCACGCCTCAAATTCACATCCAGTTCTATCTGAATATTTGAGATCAGTTCTAAATAATTTGTCCGCGCGTGGACTGAAAACAACATTTTGCTGGATTCTAAATTTTGAATACGAGACTGAGATATTAATAATATTTCGTTTTGTATTTCTGCAAAACTTTGAGTATTTTTAGCCTGTTTTGTGGCCTGTATCTACTCAACTAAAATATGGAGAAAAAACGGAAAGTTTTATGATTTTTCAAGGTTCACAGAATGCAGTAAACCGCTGGAAATATCTTGCACATTTTGGTGTTTGTGCAGTGTCAAAGTGAAATTCTACAACACAGCAATTCTGCAGGTTTTTAGTTTATACTACGGCAGGAAAGAAACAGTCTCCACGTCGAAAACTATGCACTTGAAGATTATATGAGGCTGTTTGTCTGCTGAGAAAGTAGATATGTCAAGCCAAAAGGTTGACAAAAGGTATAGCAAGCAGCTAGTTTTTACTACGTAGTACATTTACATATTTTGTTAAAAAAAGTGAAACGGTTATGATCTTGCTTCTTTATAGTGGATAGTAATTCGTTATACTTTGCATAATTTATGTATGACTGTAAGTGCATAAGACCAGCCACTATGAATAATTATTGTGGTCATAAAATATGACTATCTTTTATAATATATATTTGTTTTAAACTCTAAGGTAAAATATATAGCCATGGGCAAGTGATGGTTTTGGCATGGGCTGTTTATCTAGGCATGATTGTATGCACAAAACACACTGCCAGGTTAAAGTCCGTATAGGGACATGCTAAGGGGCTGATTACATGGAGAGTTTTCAGCCCAGGCTGAGTTTCATTCCATTTTCCCGTGCTGAAATTTAAAGACCATGTAAAGTCCGTATAAATGTAAACAAACACTTTGTTTACATTTTGAACTTAGTGCTACAGTTGTAAAATATGATTAGATATATATTATACTGAGTTTTTAACACTCTTCTGGTTCGCTATGCTTGTAAATGAATACAGACTAGAGATTCAATTCAAGAAAGTTCGGAAGGTGCGAAATATTAAATTAATAACATTCCAATGTTCGGGTCCCGACCATTGGAATGTAAGCCTGTGCAGAACGTATGCGCAGAACGGACGTCACATGGTCTTTGAGAAAATAAAGCCCGGAATGAGTTTCCGGTTGACCAGGCTGAAAATCTTCATGTACTCAACAGGAAATTTCAACCTGTGTTGAAAAAACAGCATTTAAAGGCATAGTTCAGCCTTTTGAATGATCCTTTAAGCACTTGGCTTTATTTCTGCATATTCTATTTTTAAATGTATAACCACAATGAAATTCTAACTCGCCCCGGTCTGAACTTTGCCATGTAATTGTGAAACAATTTCAGCTCAGTTAACTGGGTTGAAATTCAGTCCGGGCTGAAAACTCCCCATGTTATCAGCCTATAAGAAAGCAAGTTTATCCAAGCGGGGCAGGAAGCATGATTATATATGGCTTCCTCTGCAATGAGTTGGTTACAAAATAACTGGAGCAAAAATTTGACTTTTCTCAAATTAAAAAACCCGACTTATTGGCTGGTCCAAGAAAGGGACCATTCCACAAAATATCCACACCTTACCCACAGAGGAATTTGGAACTTAACCCCCTCCTCCTTCAGATGCCCTAGTACATTTGACCATGATAACCAGAGTTGAAGATTCTTAGCGACTATATTAGGCAGTTGCGATATTATAAAAAAAATATCGATAATATTGACTATATCCAATTATGCAAAATATGAGAAAACGTAATTTAGTCAACTTGCATGTATATGCATCACAAACAGTTAAAAAGAAGTGCATGAAACCAGTCATGGTACGTCTCAAAGATTTTTATTAACAACAGTTTATCTGTCATCTCCAACTCAGCTTTTAATTTCAATTGCTGACGCACTTGTATCATAAATTCGCAATTGCCGCCATACACACGCACACACATTGCCGCCATAAACTTCACCGATAAAAACAATAATTGCCGAATAATCGGAGATGTTTAGTTGCAACTATCGATATTTTCAATATGCGAAAAATTGAATATCGAATATCGATATTTTTGAAATATTGTTAAAATAATATGTCACGTGGAGTGACTTTATATCTGATAAAACACATGTGGCATTATATAATTGTTCATCTTAATTAGCATGATTATACTATGGTTCATCCTAATTAGTATTCTTTTGTTGTCGTATTTTAAGCTATTCAAAACACTCATTGTCGTGTTTTATCAGATATATAACGCTCGGCTGCGCCTCGCGTTATATATCTGATAAAACACTCCTACTCGTGTTTTAAATAGTACATATTTATCGAAAATATCGATATATCGCAACTGCCTAGCGACTATACCAACGCCATTGAATGGGAATTTTAGAAACTCCAGGAACACATCAAATGAAAGTAGTTCCAAGGCAAACGAAAATAAGAAAATCCAAGAAGAATCTGTTGATAGTGAACAAAAGGTATATAATCTAACTCTACATTGATATAAATACCTGTAATGTTCTTAATTTTTACATGTGAGCTTTTCTAATAGCGGGGTTGCAGATTTTTTAGGGTTGCCCACTTGAGCTCTGATTGATGCTTACTTTTTCTGGAAGAGTGGTAATTTTCACTCAGGATGTGGGGGTGTGAACCATGATCTGTTATGTCCTCCATGAAAAATAATTAAATTTGGTTTGTAGCCTGCAAGTCATCGTGATGAAAATGAAAAAGATGAAGAGGAACTTCAGAAAGAAGAAGAAGAAAAAATGATGCAGGAACAAGTATGATGTTATCACCTCTATCACCACCATTATTACCATCACTGCAACACCACTACCATCACCACCATCATTGCCACCATCACCATCACTACCATCACCAACATCATCACCATCATCACTACCATCACTAACATCATCATTACCATCACCAACATCATCACCATCATCACTGCCAACACCACCATATCACCACTATCATATCATCACCACTATCATATCACCACCAGCACCATTATCACCAGCACCACCATTATCACCGTTACCATCATCACCACCATTGTCACCACCACCATTGTCACCACCACCATTGTCACCACCACAACCATTATCACCACCATTATCACCACCACCACCATTATCACCACCACCACTATCACTACCACCATTATCACCACCACCACCATTATACACCACCACCACCATTATCACCACCACCATTATCACCACCATGCACCACCATTATCATCACCATGCACCACCATTATTACCACCACCACCATTATCACAACCACCACCATTATCACCACCACCATTATCACCACCACCACCATTATCACCACCACCATCATCACCACCACCATCATTATCACCACCACCACCATTATCACCACCACCATCATTATCATCACCACCACCATTATCACCACCACCATCATTATCACCACCACCATCATCATCATCACCAACATCACCATTACTATTATCATTGTCGTTATTATCACCAGCATCATTAAAACAGTTCAATATGTGATTCCAGAAACAAGCTGAAGAGATAGCACTGGAAGCGAAAGAACGGGTGGAGGCGAAGATGGCCATTAGACAACAGAATCTAGAAGCACCACGTAAGAATCCTTACTATCACCATGGATTGTAAAATAACTGGATAGGAAACGTCCTGACGTCACAGTCTAAACCTAGTTGCAATCTGTGACATCACGCGTATTGCAAAGTTCTCGGCATTTTTGTTGTTTCGCTATATTTTCCGCTTTAAAAGAGTAATATTGAAGCATAAACTGGTCTAATTGTTTTAAAAACATGCCTAAGCCACGACAAAGTATTCAAGGTAAATGTTTTTCGTCTTTGTTTTGTATTTTTTTACATTTGTAACTACGAAATCGGCGTCGCCAATTTTAACGAAATTTACGATGCATTTTTCACTGTTTAGTGCTTGAAATATTAATGCTAAAATTGACTGGGAATACTTAGAGATTTCATCGTAGAATGGCGTAGTTATATTTATTTGCTCTTTGACTAAAATGTTTAGCTGTATTGTAGCTAAACATGCCGTTTTTGAGAATTTGGTTTGCAACTAGGTTGGGACATCCAACCACGCCATCATCCCATTGAAAACATTAGATCACATCAGCTAGTTTCCTATCCATGTATTTTATTACCTCCGCCAGGAGGTTATGTAATCATCTGGGTGTGTATGTGTGTGTGTTTGTCTGTGAGCACGATATCTCAAGAAATACCAAACATATTCATACGAAATTTTTTGAATGCATTTCCCATCGGCTAAGGAAGAACTGATTAAAATTTGGTTGAATGTGGTTAAAAATTGAACTAGAAATGAACAAAATTTTGTCTTGCTTTTCCCGGTCAATTAAAAAAAACTCACTGAATGCGTAATTAGGACGTGTATAATGTATGCACGCAGTAAAGACAATAATGAGATGATAAACCCATAGATATCTTATATACACTAGATAGTGCATCTAATTATTCTGCAATTCAAAAATTGAAGCCGTGATTGCAGACTCAGGATATTCCCATGAAATGAGAAGACTCGTATGTTTTCTTTTTCTTAAACAGGGAACTTAAACATTAAGTTAAACCTATTCCAAATATATTTTCAAACTATTCAAATGATGAAAGTTATTGTTGTTTTTTAAACGTTTATTAGCGAGTGGGAAACTCCAACATGGCCGCCATCTATTCAAATGGGGGTAACCGCTGGAGTATTATTGGCTTCAATTTTACTAAAAGAGATGCGCTATCTAGTGTATATAAGATATTTAAGTTTCAGCCTTCATTATCTATTGTCTTAGTTGCATTTCACACGACCGAAATTCAATGTGGGCGGAGGTATGCAGTCTCTGAGTGCCCTCTAGTTATCCATGATATCACAAAAGTTTCTTTGATCAAAATATGCCTCCAAAAACATAAAAAAATACACTTGACTTTTTATTTGGATTTTTAGGCAATCGCCCACAGGATTCATTCTTTCGCAGTCTGGATTCGAATATCAAGAAAAATTCTTCCTTCATTAAGAAACTGGTATTTTTATAAACCTTGTTTTCATTAATAGTACTGTCCGCATATATGTGTGCTCATCCCATCGGCCTTTTTTATATAGAAAACCATGACGGAACAGCAGAAGCAATCTTTAAGCCAGGAATTTAATGGTTTGAATTTGACCAGATTTATCCAAGAAGCGGTATGTTCTTGAACAATCTAAACATTTTTTATAAAATTTGGATGCATTAGCTTCTATTTATTTAGCATCACCATCATCACCATCCTTATCACCATCATCACCATCATTGACTGTTATCACCATCATTGACCATTATCACCATCATTGACCATTATTGCCATCATTGACCATCATCACCCTCATTGACCATCATCGCCATCGTTGACCATCATTGACCATCGACCATCATTATCACTAAAATTATCATCACCATCATTATTAACCATCATCATTGACCAGCATCATCACCATCACCATCATCATCACCACTATTATCATCATTATCAACACCATCATAATCACCATCATCACCACCACTACTATTCATCATCATTATCAACACCATCATAATCACCATCATCACCACCACTACTATTATCATCATCATCATAATCACCATCATCACCACCACTACTATTATCATCATTATCAGCACCATCATAATCACCATCATCACCACCACTACTATTATCATCATTATCAACATCATCATAATCACCCACAATCTTTATCATCATTATCACCATGTGTAAATATCAGCACCGTTATTATTAGCACCAAGATATACAAGACAAAATTGTTATTCTTTCAGGTAACAGGAATTGTAGAAGGGTTGCATAAACTAAAGGTTGGTATTTGATATACATAAGCATATAACCTCAATCCAGCATCTCAACAGCTCAATGAGTTTGCATCACATAATACCAACGGCGCAATCTCTTTCATCTTCAGGTGTCTGATGTCAGCGTTGTGATTCACATGTGTGGTTTATTTCATCAACGTTATACAGACTTCATGGGTTATTTTATCACTGAACTCATGAAAATGTTTGACAACTATAACTGCAAAGATGATGAAAAGGTATAGTAGGATGCAGAAGATCCAATAATGGAAAAAAGAAGTGGAAAAAGTATCGGAACATAGGGCCATTGGTCCTAGAGATTTTTTTAAGAAATACGAGAAATACAGCTGCTGTACTTAACCTAAGTATTTCATGCTTATAGTCGTTGAATGTGAACAAATTCCGTGTTGGTCTGCGTGTTTTGGCTGAACTTGGTCTTTATGGCATCATTGGACATATTGAGGAAGCCATCAAGCTTCTCAGTTCAACACTCAACAATATAACCAGCTGTGATATGGTACGTTTATTAGTGAAACATCTCCTAACTCAATGGACAACTTGCATGTTAGACTAAATTTTGATCTAAGTAAAGAGAAGGGAATCAAACACTACAGCTAAAAAGAACATAATGAAATAAGTACAATTGCAAAATTTGGTTGCGAAATGATATAAAGCATATAGGAAAATATAGTCTTGCAAAGTTTGCACATTTTGTATATGTTTGTATTACGTGCGGAAATTGTTACCATTTTCGGCTCAAAAATGGTAACAGTTTCCGCATGTAATACAAATAAATACAAAATATGCAAACTTCGTAAGGGTATGTTTTCCGTATTTTACAACATTTCGTAACCAAATTTTGAAAGTTTACTAATTTTAATAAGTTCTTTACAGGAATTTACTTTTTTTTCCTAGATCAAAAATTAGTCTAACATGCAAGTTGTCTATTCATTAACAAAAGTGTAGTTAGGTCATGATGTGCAGTCACCACTTCATAACAACAAAGTGTGTAATATTGTGTTTAGGAAAATCATTTATACCTGTCAGTCATTTTGAGTTTCTGTCGACATTGCGCTGAAGATGTTCTTGGAATTACATCTAGAAAACAAAGGTTGGTGATTTGTATATTGAAGTTCGTGTTTCAAATTTGTTATATACAAATCAAATGGTACCCATCAGTTACCCCACCGTAGTAATAAATTTCTCTTTTATCACTTTATCCCTTCCTTGTTTGAGTTTTCCCCGCATTACAGCTACCTTCTTACTCTCATGTAATAACCTGGGGTTTCGGTGGCACCTACCTTTCACCCCCAAGACCGCAGGTTCAAATCCCAGTGAGAAAACTCCCAACGCGACCCGAACCCAGTCTTTATGCGAAAAGAGCGAAAAGTCAACGCTCTGCCGAAAGTCGTGGATCCCCTTCGGGTGCTCCGGTTTCCTCCCACAGGGAAAGTTGACAGGGTGGGTTAGGCAAAAAGGGCCCACAGTAATCGACATATGCTGTTGTGGTGAGCCTGCCCTAGTTGGCAAAGCTAAATAAATAAGTAAATAAATAGAATAATAGATCGCCTTTATTTATAGACTTTTGCTTCAGAAGTACGATGTGAAAATACCTCGATTTGAGGTGAGAGATTAGGGTGTATTGGTTTTCTGGCCAAACAAACGCACATGGTGTTTCCACAAGAAACTATAATCCACTTTTTTATTCTATACCAAATTTACTTTACAGGTTATTCCTTCGGAGAAACAAAAAGCGATTTTCTCGATATTGAAAAGCTATTATGAATCATTAGTCTCGCATCTACTCAAGGAACATGCTGACTTACAAAAGAAAGAAACACAAAACAAACAGATTCTGCTGGTGAGATAATTTTTTTTTGTGGATGAATTGTGGCTTCCGATTCTGTTTAATCGACATCGAAAAACAGTGGTTACCACTTGCGATTAGGGCATGTTAGACATGAAAATTAGTTGCCCGGAATAAAATTCACTTGCCGTCGGTCTAGTTTTGTTGCAGCAAGAATTGATTAATCAACATTCTACTCTGATGTTTTAATCAACATTCTAATATGATGTTTTCCTTAACAAATTCAATTGAGGACTTAAACACGTTCAATTGAAGACTTAAACACGAACTCTTGGTTTCTGCTGATTTATTAACAAAGAGTCGAAAACAGAATACATATACCATGAACAAGAAAACAATTTTGTGTAGCAGTTTCTGACAAAACAACTTTCCCGATCAGGCAACCAAGAAGCAACATCTACTTGCCTGTGGCATAACGGAGGAAGAGGGAGCCCTTAGGCATATTTGGTGTGGGGGCCCCTGTTGATTGTTGTTGTCATTGTTTGACTGAGATATTATATTTATATTGAATATTTATAGAATGTTCTGAAACATTCCGTGTCTATAACAATGACAATAACAGCATAGACGGATTTTTTTTTTGGGGGGGGTGCAGGGGGGTGCTACCCCTCCAATATTAGCTATAACCCCCTCAAACAAAATGTCCACCCCTCCAAAAATATTTTCAACCCCCCCCCCCAATATTCGGCATAATAAAAAATAATTAAATAGTCCACTCCAACGTGCAGAGTGTTGATGGTACAAAATAAATGTAGGAGTACACTCATATAGAAAAAGACAGTGCAACACTCTGAAACTAATCGCTCCTCGCTTGCATTCACTGGAGCAATTGTAAAGTTTTGAAACTCTATTATCTCCCCTGAATAAAGTTTGTAGTGCCTTGTCATGCAAATAGCTTGCTTGCAAGGCACGTTTCGAATTTTTACGAACATTATTTTTAGTTTTTAATTCTTTTAGGAAATAGACTTGCCTAGATTTAATCTTTACGCCCCAAATATTATTTACATCGGAGTTGCATCATAAATTGTACTCTGATTCAAATGACACGTACAATGTTAATGACTTTATAAAAGTAAAAGCATATTGTGTATTGGCCTATTGGGTTTACACTGTTAGAGGTTCATTTATCTTTAACTCTCTCAAGTCTCAACAGACAATCGGACATGCCAAATCCATTGATATGACACTCTTCAAAAAACTTTTTTTCGAAGCTAGAAATCATGATTTTTTTCAAATTTTTCCAGGGATACTTTGTTTTCTGCTCTCTATACTCCCCCTCGCGGCTCTAGTGCTCCACCCCTAGAATATAGACCTTACTGGGGTTTGGTGACACTTTGTGTTGCTTCGGTCACCTGCTCACGGCTCACCCCCCTAAAATTTCTGGCACCACCCCAGTAAAAAATATGAAAATCCGTCTATGAATAACAGTCTCCAACATATGTAACAGCTACTAAGAATAACTTTTGTTTTATTTGAGATGGACTAAAAAATCAGCTACCGTTGTCGATGGAGGTTTAATTCTTTAGCATTATTAATTTTGCATTTTCCCATTGATTCTTAACCTGCATTTTTACGTTTTCTAATTTTCTGGGCGATAGGCCGTGGGTGATGGGGCCCCTAACTGTCGGGGGCCCTTAGTTTTTGAACTAACCCTACCCAAAGAGCGTTACGCCACTGCTACTTGCCCATAATGACTTTTTTCTTTCGAGTCCTGCTATATTCATAATGAATTTTAATCATCTTCTTGATTTCTTTCCTGCTCTCTTAAAGCTCTCTTACAGTAGCTAACGTTCTATAATTCATTTCTGCTCTCATTTCTGAACGGTTGGCAAGATGTTTTTGTCTTTTAGAGCAAAGGTGAACTACACGAAGACAGAAAGGAAGCGTACGAGAAATGTCAGAAATCTTACGATAAACTGCTGACGAATATTTCCGCATTGGCTGTAAGTTTGTAGTTGAAAATATTCGTGTTTGAACACTTCTTGGTCGTATGAAACGTGTTAGAAGAAAAAGGAAGGAATGTGTTAAAAATATTAAAACCATTTTCTTTTTATTAATGTAGGAAATTCTTGATCTAGATATGCCGGATTTGCCTGAAAGTGGTAAGCGTGCAGAAAATACTGTAGATAGTTATATTTGAATTTATGAATTAAGCCCCGATCAAAAGAGGATGAGAATAGACCTTTTTAAAAAGTCTGCCTTGTGACGTAGTTTGCGTTAAAAGTAAAGGGCTTTATACTGGGGATTGGGGCTTTAAGCTGGGGATTGAGGCCTTACACAGGGGATATACTTCATTCGACTGGTAATATCCAGTCAACTCTCATCAACTCTCAAGCAACTCTTGTTCTCGTTTGACCGGGACATGAAAATTGAGAAAACTCATGCAAACTCTCAGCTCTAATCCTCGTATGATTGGGACTCTGTACCCCAGGTTTGTGAACTTTATATTTTCTAAATTTTTCATTTTATTAGAATCACTACCTGAAGAAGATGCAAGTGGTGGTATTAACATCTTCAATCCTTTTAAGCTAACTGAGGTGTGTTATAATTTTTATAATCCATGTCTTGTTGACAACTTGGGACATGCAGTGCGAACACAACTTGTTGACGGCTTGTTTGCAGACTTGCTACAAAATGTGAGATTTGCGTGTGTAGTATGCATGCAACCATACATGTACACACATAAAAACGCACAAGTTGTTACAGGTCTGCAAACAAGTTGTTACAAAGCTGTTCACAAGTTGTCGACAAGTTGTGTTCGCACTGCTTGTTCCCAGTTGTTGGAATAAGTTTGGAACAAGCTGTCAACAACTTGTAACAAGCTTGATGGCATTATCAGACTTGTTACAAGGTTGTTCTGACAAGTCTGACACAATCATGATATAACAAGAATGTTACAAGGTTGTAACAACACTGTTATATCATAACTGTATCGGACTTGGTGGAACAACCTTGCAACAAGTCTGATAATATCAACATGGTTGTTACAAGTTGTTCACAGGTTGTTCCAAACTTGTTACAACAACTGGGAACAAGCAGTGCGAACATAACTCGTCGACGGCTTGTTGGCAGACTTGTTACGAGATGTGAGAATTTTACGCGTGTACAGTACTCTTCCTGACTCCTGAGTGCTCATTACCTGTACCTTTGAGGAACTCCAATCTCACTGTGTATTAAACAATGAGCAAATATTAAAATGGCGTGAAAATTAGTCTGAAGTAACCTAGCTAAGACTTTGGGTTTCAGATCGCACCTACATTACAATTTATTAAAAATACAACCAAACACACATCCATCGCTAAGTTAAGCCTGCTATTGAAGGTCGACAGTAGGATGTCTACACTTAAATTGATATTTCTGGCCGGTCTGACCAGAATTTCTGTCCTTGTATCAATGGAAAGATCTGGGGCCGGTTGTACGAAGGCCGGATAGCGCTATCCACCGGTTAGTGATTTTTTCAGGCTTTGTTAAATCAGTCGTTGATTGGTATAACTTGTATTAAAGTTTAGTATTTATAAGTTAAATGTTTTTTATACTTCTTATGTCGTCTATATCCGTAGTTTCATAGTTTTTCAAGCATTTTACAAAGGTTCATCGTTCAGCTTCGTACAACCGGCCCCAGGTTTATGTTTCTCAGATATGTGGCGAAAATGGACTTCCTAAACCAGTTGGGTTAGCACTATTTTCCATCCAGCAAACTGACCGACGTCATTTTCGCAAGATAGAAGAGGTGTTAAGTGGCTATGTAACTAACCCAAACCCTACCCCTACTCTAACCTCAACCCTAACCCTAACCCTAACCGAATTAATAAAAAAATCCAAAAAGAAACGACTATACAAAATCAATAGGGCGGTTTGCTGGATGGAAAAAAGTGCTAACCAATCAGTTGATCCAATTTTCCGATCAGATAGGTCCGAAGCCCATACATGTACGTTTTGTGCTTCATTCAACAATTTTACCTTTCTGACCGGTCTGGCCGTGTTAATGGAAAGGACCTGCAATGTCTTACCTATATGTAATGTTTATTCTAGTATGATGGAGACACAGGTTTGTGGGAGGATGAAGATACGAGAACATTTTACGAAAATCTAAAAGATCTTAAATCCCTTGTACCAAGCGTAAGTGTGTGATTCATTAAATATATTTAGGCTTGGACATAGCAAACTAATATTCCAGGGAAGCTGACTTTTCAAGGGTGATGGCATGAAATATTCTAATATAGATTCAACCTTCCATCATGATATTTTTTTCAGATATTGTACAAGGAAAGTAGTAAGACGGAAAGTGATAGTAAAACAGCATCAAAAGAAGAGTTAGTCAATGGCTTAGATGATGATAGCGATATCGTGATATCTGATGATGAAGATATTTTACCTGATATCACTGATGGTATTGAAACCTAGATTTTTTAGATAGATACATATATAGACAGACATCCTCTTGCCGGAACATTTTGGAACTGATACGGTTAATATCCAGTTAATGGTTGGATATACTTCTGCAGTAAATATCGCACCAATTCCCTTACTGGGCCTGTAGTTCATGGAACTGCCCGTATAAATAAAGTTAGTTTAGTTTAGGTTTCCTCCTGTATAAGTAACACTGCATCAATAAAGGATAACTCTTACTGGACCTCGAGTAGGAAGAACAGTTCATTGAAATTAATAGAGCTGTACACTGTCTAATATAAATGAAGTTTGTTTAGTTTAGGTTTCCTCCTGTAGTGACACTAGTTAACACTGGACCAATAAAGGGTGACTCTTACTGGACCTCTTGGAAGAACAGTTCATTAAAACTGATAAAGCTGTCCAGTATGAAAGAAGTTTGTTTAGTTTAGGTTTCTTCCAATAGTAACACTAGTTAACACTGGATCAATAAAGGGTGACTCTTACTGGACCTCTTGGAAGAACAGTTCATTAAAACTGTTAAAGCTGTCCAGTATAAATGAAGTTTGTTTAGTTTAGGTTTCCTCCTGTAGTAACACTAGTTAACACTGGACCAATAAAGGGTGACTCTTACTGGACCTCTTGGAAGAACAGTTCATTAAAACTGATAAAGCTGTCCAGTATCAATGAAGTTTGTTTAGTTTAGGTTTCCTCCTGTAGTAACACTGCGTCAATAAATGATGACTCTTACTGGACCTCGAGTAGGAAGAACAGTTCATTAAAATTAATAGAGCTGTCCAGTATAAATGAAGTTTGTTTAGTTTAGGTTTCCTCCTGTAGTAACACTAGTTAACACTGGACCAATAAAGGGTGACTCTTACTGGACCTCTTGGAAGAACAGTTCATTAAAACTGTTAAAGCTGTCCAGTATAAATGAAGTTTGTTTAGTTTAGGTTTCCTCCTGTAGTAACACTAACGTCAATAAATGATGACTCTTACTGGACCTCGAGTAGGAAGAACAGTTCATTAACATTAATAAGAGCTGTCCAGTATAAATGAAGTTTGTCTGGTTAGTTTTTGGTATGTACCTCATCTCCACGTCTGTGTTTGTAGAAACGGAAGAAGATGAGACGACGTCAGCGGATGAAAGCAACAATGGTACAACTTCCGATGCATCGGGTGGAAAAACTACTCAGTCTATCTCAAGTCAACTGGAACAGATCATTCAAAGATTGCCAACTTGTGTCAATAGAAACTTTATTGACGATGTGAGTACGGTGTACAACATGCTTTTAAGGTTTTTAATTCATGTATGATGTAATAATATAATTATATTTTTGCTTGCAGCTTGCCACAGACTTTGTCATGACTTGCAACACAAAGGGAAACAGAAAGAAACTTTGTAAAGCTTTATTTAATGTTCCCAGAACAAGGTTAGCCCATATATGTTTAAAGGACATTGGCAATAGAAAATTAGTTTTGTTCATTTGAAAGAACTCTTAATTAAAACTATATATTAAACTCTACAGGGTTTTTTTCAGGGATTTTTTAGGGCCGTTAAACGGCCCCAAAAACTCAATTTTGAATTGAGTTTTGAAACTCGATCTTCTCACCAAAGTTTCAGTGCAGTAAAAATGAAGTTGTTTGAGTTAAATTCGTGACGTGTGCAAATTAGTTTTCAGTTGGAAACCCGACAATGAAGAAAAAATGGCTGGAATTCATCTCACAACACAAGAAAAACTATGCATTTGCCATCTTTAACCAGTTTATGGTGTCCCTCAGTGCCCCTGCTTTAACACATTCCGTGTCAACTACATTTATTGAGTACAAGAGTCAGCCCCCCGGTAGGGGGGGGGGGGATGCAGCCACCCCAGTTGTTCAGCTAAACTCAATCTTCTCTGCAAAAACGGACCCAAGAGAAAATCCGGAAAAAACCCCTGACTCTATTAAGATTGTTTATATGCTTAGTTTTCAAAATATTTCGAATGAAATTTACTACTTATCTTCAGAGAGCTTTTGTATGTTTATCGTTTATGCACATATTTAGGTTTGATCTGTTGCCTTTCTACTCTCGACTGGTCGCAACATTACATCCCTGTATGCCTGACCTGGCTGTTGACTTGTTTGCTTTTCTTAAAGCTGAATTTAAGTGGCATGTAAGTTAAATAATTAAATAAGGCATGTTGTGTCATGTACATAGATATCTTATATACACTAGATAGTGCATGTAATTATTCTGCAATTCAAATTTGAAGCCGTGATTGCAGACTCAGGATATTCCCATGAAATGAGAAGACTCGTACGTTTTCTATTTCTTAAACAGGGAACTTAAACATTAAGGTAAACCTATTCCAAACACATTTTCAAACTGTTCAAATGGTGAGAGTTATTGTTGTTTTTAAGCGTTTATTAGCGAGTGGGAAACACCAACATGGCCGCCATCTATTCAAATGGGGGTAACCGCTGGAATATTCTTGGCTTCAATTTTACTTAAAGAGATGCGCTATCTAGTGTATATAAGATATCTATGGTCATGTAGTGTTGTTATAAATTTGTTTACTGCATGGTTGATTTTTAACTATTTTTAGGTTCGAAAGAAAGACCAAATTTATGTTGAATCCAAAGTGAAGACAGTGCGTTTTATAGGTGGGTACTTAGTGTGTAGCCTTGTATTTGGTTTAAGGGGAGAATCATTTGTATTTTACATAACACGCGTTCACGTTACCTGTAGTGCTTTATCTGTAAAATAATGCTGAAATGAAGATTTTAGATGGTACGCCAAAGAGAAAATGATGTCTCAAGTTCAATAAATTTTGCTTATATTGCTGTATAAATATGGCGTCAATTTTACAGCATCAATGATAATTGTATTGAAGAGGCAATATTTTTTATATTGAAAAGTGTTCAAAAACTAAATTATTTTGGCGTTCCTCAGAATGAGACAGACAAACGTATATAGTCAGCTAATTTTAAGCTATATATTTCAGCTGAATTGACAAAATTTGGAATGGTTCCGAAAAAAGAAACAGTTCATTGTTTAAAGGTAAAAATGTCTGTAATTTTTGCTGAGATTTTGGTGCGATTTCCTTCTTCTGATGGATGTGAACGAGTGGATGAATTACGAATGTTCAGATGAGGATACACATACTCCGAACATTCGTAACTCATCTACTCGTTCACATCCATCAAAAAGAGAAAATCGCATTAGATGAGATCAGTAAAAATTGCAAGTGTAAACGGTGCAATTTTTCATGCAACTTGTCTCGCAATGGCGTTGCGAGACAAGTTGCACGAGTCATTGCACCGTTTAACATGCCTTGCATAATGGTCAAAATCGTTGCGAGACAAGTTGCATGAAGCATTGCACAGAGTAGAAGTCGGTTCTACTTTTGGCAACGATTGCACTAATTGTTTTTAGCATTGCAGCGTGTAACATGGCTTCGTGCAACTTGTCTCGCAATGTTTATAGCCTGTAGAGTTCCTATTGGCTCACCCCATTACGCGCTTTACTTTAATTAAAATTTGGCGCCAAATAGCACCTCTCCCTAGTCTCTTCGCATGCCTCTGTCCCCTATCGTTGCGAGTTGCATGAAAATCATTGCAGCGTGTAACACCTCTTGCAATGCGTTATCAAAATCTTTTTTTAAACATTGCGAGACAAGTTGCATGAAAAATTGCACCGTGTAACAGGGCCTTTACGCTGGAGTAATACGAGCAACAAAATTGCTGCAACTTGCAACAAAATCTGATTTCAACGCATGCTAAGTAGGAATGTTGACACATGTTGCCTCGTGATTTGTAATGTATGAGTGAACATTTTCAATTAACATGCGTAGAAATCAGATTTTGTTGCAAGTTGCAGCAATTTTGTTGCTCGTATTACTCCACCTTTAACTCTCTGCGCGCGATACAAAGAACTATTCAGTGTAGTCACGAATCTCAAAGGAACGATGGATAACCCATTATTGACTCACGTACTGTCATGGCCAATGCAGCCAGTTTAACCCATTGAGCGCCAGCACTATATATCCCTTTGGCAAGTAAAATCGTCTGGCATTAGACAGAGTAAAATAATAAGTAGGGCATGCACATTAGGGCAAAATGCAACTTGATAGGTAAAACATTGCCAGACAATAGAAGCCGCCATGACTATATTTTAAGTTGATATTTCTTCACATTAGATTTTGTTGGATAATTTCACGCATCACAATGTTGAAATGGCGTGCAGCTTGCTGGAGACATGCGGCCGCTATCTCTTTAGATCAGCGGACTCTCATATCAAGACCAAAAACATACTGGTAAGATTCTAAAATAAGATTAGAATATACTGCTAGCCAAGTAATTCAGACGATCAGTGATGTCTCTTTTTTCAGTCTTTTCTAAAGACTTAATTCTTTATTCTTCATGAATCAAGACTGCTTTTCAATTTCTAAAGGCTGGTTTACAGTATCAAAGTTTCTGTGATCACAGTAAGAATTTTGCATTGGTAAATTCTAAGTTTTGAAGGATTTGTAAGAAATTTTTGAGCAAACTGACTTAATGTTTGACACTGAGTCAGTTTCCTCAAACATTTCTTTACAAATCCTTCAAAACTTAGAATTTACCCATGCAAAATTCCTACTGTGATCACAGAAACTTTGATAGTGTAAACCATCCTTTATAACACTCAGTAAGTTTCCTCAAACATTTCTTACAAATCATTCAAAACTTAGAATTTTCCTATGCAAAATTCCTACTGTGATCACAGAAACTTTGATAGTGTAAACCATCCTTTATAACACTCAGTAAGTTTCCTCAAACATTTCTTACAAATCCTTCAAAACTTAGAATTTTCCTATGCAAAATTCCTACTGTGATCACAGAAACTTTCAGATAGTGTAAACCATCCTTTATACACTCAGTAAGTTTCCTCAAACATTTCTTACAAATCATTCAAAACTTAGAATTTACCTTTGCAAAATTCCTACTGTGATCACAGAAACTTTGATAATGTAAACCATCCTTTATAACACTCAGTAAGTTTCCTCAAACATTTCTTACAAATCCTTCAAAACTTAGAATTTACCTTTGCAAAATTCCTACTGTGATCACAGAAACTTTGATAGTGTAAACCATTCTTTATAACACTCAGTAAGTTTCCTCAAACATTTCTTACAAATCATTCAAAACTTAGAATTT